CACAGACACACATTTCAGTGCTCTGCTGAATGGCACTTCCATTGAGGTGTCACCATCTGGAAGCTCAGCCAGAATTTTCAGCTACTGCCTTGGGATGGAATGAATGTGGATGGATTTGGAGTCATTAACATTCAGTATTTGAATCACCTTGTTCTTGGGCTTTAAAATACCCTCCTCAGCATGGTCCTGAGCAGGGATGGGCCATCACAGGAGGGCCAGGGCAGGAGCTGAATCCACTGCTCTAAGTCTTTACAGAGGGTTTGCTGAGAGTCACAGAGCTCCCTGACAGACCAGGCTGAGGCATTAACTCGGTGCAAATCCTGCTGAATGATTCAAACCCAGCCCTCCAGAAATGACAGATGTCACCTGAAGAGCTGCTATATTAAGCAGAGTGTGTTTAACTGCAGCAATCACTTAATGCTTCACACACATTTCAAGAGAGTCGTGCTGGGCAGATTGGCTACGTGCTGTGTCAGAGGGGTTTTTAATTCATCTTTGCTCATTCACTGCACTACTCTGCACTACAAATCACTGGCAGAGCTCAAAACTTGAGAGCAATGTCACAGAAAAACATTTCCTTACCTTCCCAGCACCACTTTCTCCACTCACAATGATGGACTGGTTCACAGGGTCCATCTGCTTTTGGACATTCCTGTAGGTTTGCTCAGCCACTGCAAAGATGTGAGGTTTTAAATCCTGGCAGTGAAAGAGAATATTTATATTTAAGAGTACAGTAACCATACAGTTCAACAGCAATGGATAACAAAGGTCATCTCACATTCACCTGAAAACAGCACTGCTCTTTGAACAGAACTAATATTTCACTAGAAATGGGGTTTCTCCTGTGGGACTATTTTGCTCAGATGAATTTAGAGCAGTTGGACACCTGGGCTCTACAGAAGGACAGAGATCTCAAACACAAGGGTTACCTGAGGACAAAGTGCAACGTGGTACTCCCTCATGAGCTCAGGTGAGTAGAGGCAGGAGAAAGGCTGGAAAGGATTTAAAGCCACCAGGCTGCAGCCAGCGTTTGTATAGAACAGGTTGACTCTGTATCTTGCTTGCAGACATTTCAGAACTGAAAAGCAACACCTTCTGTCAGCATCTTTTGCAAAGTGTGTTTGACTCTTGCTGTGCCTGTTGTAACAAGAGTCTCAGGTGTGTTCCTATCAGGTTTAATAGAGAGATGTAGATGTAATATACATAATTATACATGTAATTAATATAATATACAAAACTCCAGTGTCCATGGTGTTAATGCAGTGAGAGCAGGAATGCAGTGGCCATGTGTCAGTGGCCAGCCAGGTAAGGGATCCCTCAGCAGACTGTCCCTGGCTGCTCACCTGTCCTGGTTGTCACTGGATTCACTTTGGTGAGGTCGTCAAAAAGATGCAGTTTCTCTTCATCACCGAGGAAGGCTCTAACTTCTTCTTCAAATGGTTCACTGAGGTCATTCTGGATGAGAGAATCTTCCCTTTGGCCATTTTCCTGGAGGGGATGTCAGATCAGCAGCACTGAAAGGTGAAGAGCTGGACTTTCACCTCCTGCCCTGCTCTAGCTCTTCTGCTGCTTCCATGTCACCAAATTTCAGTCTCAGCAGGAGCCAGACCTCAGGATGTCACAGCTACTCCTCCTGCCAGCTGCCTCCTCCTGCTCTGATGCTAGAAAAGGGTTCTGGCTGTGAGCAAAGGCACTCAGAGAACGTGGCCTTGGGCTCACACTGCAGCTCTGCACACACACACCCCCATGCTCGTGCAACTGGCTCATTTCTAAGCCTCTGCCTGTCATGCATTCAATCCAAGCAGTGACCTGGACTCAGGGAAGCAGGAAGGGCTGGCTGCAGGTACAGCTGGAAGCCCCTGCAGGCCAAAACAAATGCAGCTTTCCTAGCAGAGACTCATTTTCAGGGTGAAAGCTGCAGAGTGCACACATCACAGCCAGGGCACAGGAATGGTGCTGGGGCAAGAGCTGCCCTGCCTTAGCTGAAGTTTTGTCCCCTTTGAATCACTTAAAATATTCAAATCTCAGCCTCTGGGCTCCCATGTCCTTGACAACATTCTTTGGAAGGACACATTTGTATGTAATGGAAAACCAGCCAGAAGAGAGATTCCAGGACCTGTTTGCCATTACTGGGGAAAGGAGAGGCTAGAAGAGAAAATGAAGAATGGAAAAGATGCCAGTCCTGATTTCTGCACTCTGTACACTCCTCTTCTGATCTCCTTCTCTTTGACAGAAAGTTCTCCAAACTATTCCTGCTCACCTGTACCAATCAATGAACAGCTACACATTGTTTGTACAGAAAATGCTAAATTTAATTAGCAGCATTCCCACTATGGGAGCTGAGCCCATTAATATAGGGGAAATGCACTGCAAACCCCACTCAGCATGTTCCTAAAAAGAAAAAAAAAAAAAAAGCTACAATAGTGTACTCATTTAGGAGCCTTTTTATCTTTTGCAGACAGCATAAATACTTCATTTCTAGTGATACAGAATTTTACACAGTAAGGGGGAAAAAAAAAAAGCTTAGCAATGCAGTAAAGCACTGCCATCCAAGTGATTTCTGTTATTCTCTGAATGAGCATTAAGCAGCTTGCTGCTGTCACAGAACAGACACCACAATTAGCAAACACTGCGTGGACCTGAGGAGTTCCTGCCCATTCCCCTTTCTCCCTGTGTTCCACCAGGCAAGTCAAACCCACTGTGAGACTGCAAGGCCTGAGGAAAGGCCTGGTTCTGCTGCCCTGCTCAGCATCACTTCAGCTGAGATGATTGCTCAGCCAAAAGTAGAAGAATGTTTGACAATAAATCCCAACTCTCATGTCCATTCATCTTCCTGAGCAAACACCCCCCCGGGATGTGCTTGCTGCCTGCATGAACACCTGCCCTGCTAGAGCCCAGGGCACAACAAAAATCACTGCCTGGTGTCTCTAACACAGCTCAAACCCACAGTAAATAGGTCCAGTCAATTCATGAATATTCTTTAGTAGTTACCTAATCTTGACTGCATGGAAATAAGCCAAGAATTCTCTCCTGGCAGTAACTTTTAATTAGCACACACAATTCCTGCTTTTCTTTTTACCTGCTTTGGCATCTTGTCCAGACCTGTGGATGGGAACACTGGAGAGGGCCTTTACTTTAGGGTACTTCATTCAAATCACACTGAAGAATGCTTGAAAAAAAAGAAAATAAAAAGGCATTTAGATAAAAATAACTCAGGGCATGTCATTCTCCAGAGGGTTCCACAAGCAAATCCCAAGAACTTCAGGCAGAATTAGTGATCCCAGTGGAGCCCAAGTAACACTGGAGCTGGAAATCCTACCCAGAGTGATGGTCATGTGCTGCTGTCCCCGCAAATAAAGCTTTTTTGGAGAGAATTGTGTATATTCCCTTTCATCAGGAATAAAATGCTTTGCTTCTCTTTAATAAAGCAAGTTTTATTGGAAAGAAACTGCAACTACTTGTAAAATTCCCTGTTTGGAGAAACAGAGCAGACCTGAGGGTCTGACAGTGCCGGAGAAGCCAGAGCTTTGGGAAGGGGAGTGACTCAGAGAAGTCTGTGCTGTCCCCTTCCTGTTTCCTCTGAAAATCTCTGGGAGCCAGCACAAGGTGAGTCATTTGAATTTCTGTGATAAACGCTGAGGTTCCAGTCACACTGCCAGGAAGAATTCTGTCCTTCCTTCAGCTGAAGCTGCCATTACTTCTATTCTTTTTCTATTCTAATTCTATTCTATTCTAATTCTAATTCTATTCTAATTTTGTTCTATTATACTCTAATTGTTTCTATTCTATTCTATTCTATTCTAATTTTGTTCTATTCTATTCTATTCTATTCTATTCTATTCTATTCTATTCTATTCTATTCTATTCTATTCTATTCTATTCTATTCTATTCTATTCTATTCTTTCCACTCTATTCCGTTCCTATTCAGTTCCTCTTCTTATTCCATTGTTATTCCCATTCCATCCCTAATTTCCTTCCTAACCCGGCATGAAAACACCACTCGGAGTCAGTTCGGAGTCCCCAAACCCCGGTCCGATCCATCCCGCTCTCCCGGCAGAGCCTTTTGTGCCGGTGCCCGCAGATCCCGGGGGGCACGGGGAACACGACAGGGACGCACCGGGGACACGAAGGACACGAGGGACACGCCGGGGACACGCGGGACACGCCAGGGACGCAGGCGGGCCGCGGCACTCCCGGGCAGGGTCGCGGGGTGCCCCCGGGCCGCGGGTGCCGGGGCTGAGCGGGCCGGGCCCGGCGGCGGTGCCGGCAGCACGGCAGGGCAGGGCAGGGCGGGCTCGGGACTTACCGCGGCCGGAGCGGGGCCGGAGCGGGGCCGGGGCCGGCAGCGAGCGGAGCGGAGCGGGGCGGGCGGGCCGGGGAGGCGGGACCGGGGCGGGGCTGGGGCGCTGCGGAAGCGGCGAAAGGGCGGGCGGGGAACGCGGCCCGGATTTACCGGGCCCGGCTCCACTCGGGCCGGCTTCGTCCCAGCCCGGATTTACCGGGCCCGGCTCCACTCGGGGTCGACTTCACCGGGCCCGGCTTTACCGCGGCCCGGCTTCATCCCAGCCCGGATTTACCGGGCCCGGCTTCACTCGGGGTCGGCTTCACCGGGCCCGGCTCCACTCGGGGCCGGCTTCGTCCCAGCCCGGATTTACCGGGCCCAGCTTAACTGGGGGCCGGCTTCACCCCGATCCTGCTTTACCGGGCCTGGCTCTACCCCAGCCCCGCTTTACCGGGCCCGGCTTCACCTCATCCCCGCTTCACCCCATCCCCGCTTTACCGGGCCCCGCTTTACCCCAGCCCGGCTTCACCCCATCCCCGCTTTACCCGGCCCCGCTTCACCCTATCCCGGCTTCACCCCAGCCCGGCTTTACCGGGCCCCGCTTCACCTCATCCCGGCTTTACCCCATCCCGGCTTCACCCCATCCCGCTTTACCCGGCCCGGTTTTACCCGGCCCGGCTTTACCCGGCCCCGCTTCACCCCAGCCCCGGTTCCACCCGGCCGTGCGGGCGGCAGAGCGGCCGCGGTCCCGCCGCTCGATGCCCTCAGCGCCGTCCGTGCCCCCGCTCCCGGTAATATCCCGGTAAGCTCCCGGTGCGCCCCGCGGCTGAGCAGAACCCCTGATTAATTCACGCTTTTTCCATCCCCGCGGGTTCTGCTGCCGTAAAAAGGCACCTGGGGGCTGCTGGTTGTACAGTGTTGTGTAGGGACACGTTTTTACATTTCTGTGCCATTTGGACCGTAGAGGATGTGGCAAAGTATGTTCTACAGAGCCGTGAGATTATTCACCATGTGAATATTCAGTGGAGTATTTGACGTTTAGAGATCTCCCTCAAAAATGTACGGAGCATCTTGTTGGAACACCTCAGGATGAAAAATGCTGGCACTTCCTCAAGCCTGTGTCTGTCCTTGGCTTCCCAGGCCAGCTCCAGCGCTGCTCTGTGTTCTTTAAATGGAAAACTAATTCAGTAACTTCTGAAATCAATGTTGGTTTTGTGAACTGCCCGAGACAAGTTCACGTTTTGTGTTTTCAGAGGAAGGAGTTTCATTTTTAAGGAGTTCAGAGACCCGTTTTACACAGCTACCTCAAGTTCACGTTTTGTTTTCAGAGGAAGGAAGAAGAATGTCCCAGAAAGAGCTGAAAGAAGCTTTTATCAGCAACCTGAATGGAACGAGTTTGCTGGAAATTTCCGCAGGCTTGTCCCTGCCTCCACTGTGCCTGCTCTGCAGAGGGCTCCTCCTGATCCTGTACTACCTGCACCATGGAAAACCTGTAAGCTCAAGGAAGTACAGCCTGCTGCTAGACTTCTTGGTGCTGGTGTCTCCTCTCCTGTTCTCCTGCACTGTCTTGTCTCCTGTCATCTTTTTCATACCGGTTATCCTCGCTGCCTTCTGTGCCGGAATATTTTCCAAAATATACAGCCAGAGCAAACGGGAGGCCAGAGTACCCTTTGGGCAAATTGTAAAAGAATTCCAGAAGACATGCTTGGACCCCGAGTGCATTCCAGCAATAACTGTGTTCCGTGTTTATGTCAACGTGCTGACATCCATCAGCATTCTGGCCGTGGATTTCCCGCAGTATCCCCGGCGATACGCCAAGGCCGAGACCTACGGCACCGGAGCCATGGATTTGGGGGTGGGAGCCTTCATCTTTGGAAACGCTCTCGTTTGCCCTGAAGTTCGGCAGAAGCCTCACACGACACAGCCCAGATTCTCCGGCCTGGCCAGGCAGGTGTTTTCCGTGTGGCCGCTGATTTCCCTCGGCGTTGGGCGGCTGCTGAGTGTTAAATCCATCGAGTACCACGAGCACACCTCGGAGTACGGCGTGCACTGGAACTTCTTCTTTACCTTGGCACTGGTGAGACTCGCAGCATCTCTGCTTTTAGCCATATTCCCCAAACATAAGGCTTGGCTGGTGGCTCTAGCCATGGCTGTGCTTTACCAGCTCCTCCTCAGCGCTACCTCTCTGAAGACATTCATCCTGCACGGGAGCGACGGCAGGGGCTCCCGGCTCGGCTTCCTCGATGCCAACCGGGAAGGGCTGCTCTCCCTCTTTGGCTACCTGGCCATCTACCTGGCGAGCGTGCAGGTGGGGCTGTGGCTGCTGCGGCGCAGGAGCTCGGTCAGGGGCTGGCTGGAAGCCCTCGGGGGGCTGGCCCTGGCCGTCCTGCTGCTGTCGGTGCTGCTGCAGCTGTGCCAGGCGTGCACGGAGCCCGTGTCGCGCCGCCTGGCCAACCTGCCCTTCTGCACCTGGGTGCTCGCCCACTGCCTGCTGCTGCTGGGCTTCTTTCTGCTTGCCGACCTCACCTTGGTGTTCGCCAAGCTGCTGGTCAAGGGCTCCAGCGTGCCCTGCTGCTGGGAGGTTGTGCAGCTCCCTGAATCCGGGAAAAAGCGCGGAATGCAGGCCGGGCGGGTGGGAAGGCAGGACAAGCTGTCACAGCTATGCCTCATTAGCGCGATTAACAAAAATCAATTACTGTTTTTCTTGCTAGCGAATGTTCTGACTGGTGCTGTGAACATCCTGATAGACACAATCCACAGCAAGGCTGCCTTAACATTGTGCATACTGCACTTGTACATGTTTTTTAACTGTTTAATTATGGATGTATTGCATGCCAGAAATATAGTATTAAAGTTTTGGTGATTCCACTTTGGCTGAGTGGACTAGCTGGACTTTGTTTGCTGCAGTTGAATGATGGTATTTAATGGAAAAATTAGTATTTTTCCTGGATGTGTTGCAATAATGTATAATTTAGCAGAGCTTTTTATTATTTAGTGTTGATTACTCTTTAATGGTTCATTTTACCAAATGATACAGTCAATGATATTACCTGTTGGGAGTTGTTGCATGTTATCCTGAAAACTTAGGTTTGGAGATTTCTGAATATTCCTGCTGCTCCTGACAGTAAATTGCATTTACAGTTAGTGAACTGTGGTCATACCCAATGAATTAGATAACTAGGTAGAGCAGAAACCAGATGAAAAGTAAGAAGATGAGTAATTATATGGAGAGAGAGGCCTAGCTGTGTCAAGATTTACCTAGTTAAGGCCCTTGCATAAATAATAGATAAGAATAATTTTTCATATAAAATGTATTGAATAAGTGGATACTTGAAAATATTTTGGCCCCAGTCCTGCAGAGACTTATGCATATGCTTGACTTTGATGGTAGTAATTGTGGAATATTAATCATACACTGAAACCTAAATTAGCCTTTGAATTAAAGCTAAATTTTACTTCCGTCCCCACTGATGAATATAAATGAAGACCTGAGATAAAGTGTGATGCTCTGAAGGATAAACTCAGCTGCAGATGAATTCATAAAACAGCTATTGGAGGTTGTGGTGCAGATAATAAGAACCACACTTCATAAGAAAATACAGAGATACCAAACGAATTCAGCTCCAACCTGCAGACCAGCACATTGAATACTGTATTTTGCCAGCTGAGATGTCTCCAAGGGGGGACATTTGATATTAATTTTTATTAGCAAACAAACAGGCTGCACTGGGTCAGGGTTCTGGCAATGGCTTGAGAAGGGAGCTGCTCAGTTTTTCTCAGTCTTCCTTGCAAGGCCAGAGCAGAACACCCTCTGTGTTCCCTTTCCTGACTGTGACAGTTCTTCCTGTCCTCATAAAGTTGTTGGGAAGAGAAATACACTTAAAGATTGTGAGGAATTCAATAATGGGATATAAATACTTTAGGAGTAGAATACCAATGGTAGTTGATGATAGATGTCCAGTGTCAGTGGAGTTACAGCAGTACACATGGGCCATATTTCATATTTCCCCTTGTCTTGATGAATCATCAAACCTTTGGAGAATAAGCCTCTAAATCGGATTCCTCAAGACAGACATGCTGTGGAAGAGACATAAATTTATCAAGTTCTCCAAGCCCCTGGCCAGCAGAAAGGTGAAGTCTGAGGATTATAGGCTGTGGCCACGCTGAGTTCATCCTTGTTTTCTTCCAACTTAAAGCCATGTAGTCTTGAGAATTAAAGCAAACCAGCCTGTATTATCCTGAGGACAGATGCAAGAACTGGCAACAACCTCTTAGAAACAGTTGTCAGTTTATAGCAGAGTTTTCTGGTAACTGGTGGATGTGTTTATTTTAAAACACTTCCTAGGCTTGCCTAGGGAAGAAAGGTCTCCCTCGTGAACCAACTGGCACTACTCATTTATGCAAAATTACTCATGGATATTTATTTTTGAAATGTTTAAAGCCCAGGACCTGCAGCGAGTTCTGCCTGTGAGCACAAGCCTGTCGGTGTGATTCAGAACGAATTGGGTGTGACAGGCAGAGCTGTGTCTGGACAAGCACAGGGCATCCAGGTGCCAACTGCACTGGGTGAAGCAGGGAGGACGTGGGAGGTCTGGTGGGCGAGCTCCACACGGGCTGGTGGTGCCAGTTCCAGGGCTGCAGCGTGGTTGCCACAACAGCAGCGAGCCCAGGGGATGGTGTGCACCCGAGTGAGAACTGCCCTCTCACCAAGGCCAGCTCCTCATCCTGAGACTTCTCCTGCTTCGGAAGCTCTGAGGAGTAACTTAGAGGTTGTGGCAGGTGGCTTTAGTCTCTTCTCCCAGCAGCAAGTGACACAAAGAGAGGACACGGCCTCAAGCTGCGCCAGGGGAGGTCCAGGTTGGACATCAGGAGGAATTTCTCCATGGGAAGCGGTCAGGCACTGGAAGGTGTCCGAGGAAGGACTGGATGTGGCACTCAGTGCTCTGGGCTGGTTCACAGAGTGTGGATCAGTCACAGGTTTGGCTTGATGGTCTCAGAGGTCCTTTCCAACCAAAATGATTCTGGGATTCTGCAGGCTGTTCACCAGTGGATTAATGAGAGACAGTTCTCATTGCCTGTTGTCGATAACAGATGCAGTGAGCTCTGCCCTGAAGCAGCTGGTGTAGTTCTGAATGCTGAGTGTTCAGCTATGAACACAAGATAATTGCCCAGGCCTCTGAAAGAACCCAGAGATGCAAGCGAGCATCCTTTGATCACAGGACGAACAAACAGCTCTGCTGGGTTTGAAAATATGTGGAAAGTGAATACTGCTGTTCTCCACACACCTTCACAACTGAAGGAACAGGAACTCTGCATTTCACTTCACTCTGGGCTGTGTTTAGACAAAGAACCCTTGGTACAGATTAAAGGTGTATTTTTTAAAAGCAGAAACTTTTATTTCATTGTTACAGAATGAGTAAAAGTTTAAAGATGTTTCAAGTACGAAGACGAATGGTTCAACCATCATGTGTCACCTGCTTCAGCAATAGTAAAGCAGAGGAAAACAGAAATTGTTTTGCCTTTGCTGCCATAATTCCACCAAATGACCTTTGTGTAGGGCTGCAGGGTAGAAAAATGCTGGGATATGGTGGGAGGGTAGGGCTGATTACGTTTATTCTTAACTTGTTATTAAACATCACTAGCTCCTTAACACATCTCATTATTTTTAAGGATCAACTCTAGCATGCCTCCTCTGCCAGCCGCAGTGGTGTCTCTTTTGAAGTCAGATATTGCCCTGAAGATTCCAGGCAGTATCCTATTTCAAAGCCACCCTGTCCCAGAGAACAAGTATTTCTTCCAGGCAAAGAGGGCCATGCAAATGAGCGCAGGAAGGGGCTGGCTGCCTTTCCACCGCCTTGGAGATAACAAAACAAGCCACGTGTTCCAGCAACTTAAAAAAAAAAAACAAACTTAAAAATCCATGGATAGAAATTGTTTGAAATGTAATGGTGCTTTTTGTATCAATGTGTGCTGCAAGAATACAGAACCTGAGACAATGTTGTGGGAGGGAGGAGTGACACAGGGAAAGCACATCGTGCAAACACCTAAATTCATCGTGGTTCAGCGTGCTCTGGTGTGAGAAACCATCGCTCGTTAGAGAACCCCAGCTTTTCTGCTGCAGAAAGCCAATGAAACACCGACTGCAAACCGTGACTCCACACGCTGTTCCCGCTACAGCTGCTGCACGAGGAGCTCGAGTAAATTCGCTCCTCCACTAAACACCACTTTTATATGCAGACACAAAAAAGAATCCTGCTCCTTTATTACCTCCCCTGCATTTTCCTGTGAGTGCTTCAGTGCCTGTATCCATACACAACAAGAATGAACAGGTCAGCTGTATTATTCAGTAGTTCAAGAAAGAGTCTGGGTTCGTTTTTGGGGGTTTTTTTGGTGGGTTTTTTTTTTTGGTGGTTTTTTGTGTTTTTTTTTTTTTTTTTTTTTTTTTTTGGCTGCTTAATTTAGGCAGCCACAGGATTTCGGGCTGGCTGCACTGAGCTGTTAAATCCTGCCCTGCCTGGCTCGGGACCAGCGCAGCGTTCGATGCCGGGGCAGGGTGTGAGGCGAAGAGCTCAGCGAGCCCCGAGGAGGACACGGGGCGCAGCTCATCCCTGCACAGGGCACCCCAAAACCTCCCCCTCGCTGTGCCTCAGAGCGTTGAGCTCAGCGCCTTTTTATCGCCCCGCGCTGCCGGCGGGGCCGCTCGCACCGCGCTAACGCCCGGCCCGGCCCGGCCCGCTCGTTGTAACCCCCAACGCCCCGGGGCCGGCACCCGCTCCCGGCCCAACCCCCGCTGCGGGGGCCGTTCCCGGCGCCGCCGACACCCGCACAGCCCGGCCGCCCTCAGCGGCCGCCGAGCCAGCCCGCTGCCCGGGGCGGGCCCGGGCGGTGCCCGCGGCTCTCGCGAGAGCGGGGCGGAGCGGCCCCGGGGCGGGCAGGGAGGAGGCGGCTCCGGGACCGCGGTGCCGCCCGCCTGTCACAGCGCCCGGGCCGCCCAGCGCCGCCAGCAGCCGGTAAGGGCCCGCCGGCCGTGGGGCAGCGCTCCGTGGGGGGAGCGAGGCTATAGCGGCGGCAGCGTGGGGTTGCCCACCACGCCGCGGGGAGGGAGCCGGGCGAGGCCGCGCAGCAAGCGGGAGGAAGGGGTGGGTCTGCTGGGGCAGCCGGGCTGCAGCCCGCGGGGAGCGGCGGGGCGGGCGCTGGGGCCGCTCCGCGGGGCGCCCCGGGCAGCGCCGGGCAGGCGGCGGCGGTTCCCCCCGCGGAGGAGCCGCAGAGCCGCGCCGGGCTGGGCGGGTCCCGGCGGCCGCGCTGGGCCGGTGGCGGGCGGGGGGTGGCGGCTCCATCTCCCCGTGGCGGCTCCATTTTCCCCCGCGGACTCCATCTCCCCTGGCAGACCTCCATCCCCGCCCGCGGGTTCCGTCTCCGCGCTCGCATCTCCACCTCCCCGTCTCCCCTTGGGGGTCTCCATCCCCCCGCGGCTCTGCCCGCCGGCCGCCCCGTGTGCTGCCGCATTCGCGGCCCGCTGGCGGCGGGGTGGGTGGGCAGGGCTCGGCGTGGTGAATCAGGCGATGGGGAGCGCAGGCTGGGTGCCGGCTGCTGGTGAAAGTGTGGCGGGGAAGCGCGGCGGGTGTTTACCTCCGGCCGGGGCCGCCCGCAGGCTGGAGCGGGGAGGAAGCGGCAGCAGCAGCAGGAGCAGCAGCGATGGCGCGGCTGGTGGCGGTGTGCCGGGACGGCGAGGAGGAGTTCCCCTTCGAGAAGCGGCAGATCCCCCTCTACATCGATGACACCCTCACGGTGAGTGCCCGCCGCCCGGCCCGCGCCTCCCGCGTGTTGCAATGCCCGGGCCGGGCCTTCCCTCCTCGCAGGGCCTCGCT